GCCAAAAAAAATCAAATTGAAATTCTTCCTGGTGGGTTTTCTCTACAGCTCATGAGAAGTACATGAGACACTTCTTGGGAGGGAGAGGGGAGGGAAGTTAAACTCACAGAAATAACAATGAAAAGAAATATTAAGAATTACCCCAAAATCTCCCTTCTCTCCATTTAGGGTCCAAAGAGCTACTTTGACTCCAAGGCAGTATAGGTTGAACCCTGAAAAATGTCTCACCATTTAAAGACACAAAATATGCAGTCCAACTTTAGCTTTCTATGTTTGCTTCCTCTAGTTTAAAAGCCACATTTTTCCTCAAAAAGCTTGTTATGAAATTTGAGCTGTTGCTCTTCTTTAACATTGCAGTCTAAGAATGAACTGCAGTACAGATGTTTCTAAACAGGTTTCCAAATATTTCAGGATTTCAGAAAGTTTCATTTTTTTTTGCTAGGATCTTCTGAAAGAAAAAAACAAAAATTAAAAAAAAACACATAGAAACCCTCCTTTCCCTCAATAATAATTCCATATAAAATTATACTATTTTATATAAGTAAACTACAGGTCTTATTTACTGTATTAGCATAAAACATCTCAGGATGTTATTTCTATTCTCAGGTGTTTAAAAACTCTTCATCCAAATTTTATTATCATAGTAGTACCCATCCTGCATACTACTACATTTTCTGATGACTACTGATTAAAATCTTTTTCCTACTTAAGTGGCTGAAATGAACATTTATTTGATCCCACAGCCCAGAAGACTTATTTGCCTTAAGCTGCAACTGCTTTTTGTTTGTAAGCAGAAAAATTCAAGAAAACACAATAGTACTTCATCTGGGTCCAAAAATCACTCAAACACCAGCTTTTGCCCTGTTGTATCTACAAATGTTGTCTAAGGCTTTTTTATTGATTTTATTTTTCTTCATTTCCCCCCCTCTCTCACTTGCTGCTGGATATATTTATATTCTGTTCCAGTATTTTAGCTAGCTCTGTGGAAGAGATCATATCAATATACTGCAGTTTTGTAATGAAATCCTAAAAAAGGTAACTGTATGTTTCCAGAAGGTGTAGCAAAAGCATTCTTAAACATTATGTTGATGTGACCTTGTCCTGGTTTCAGATGGGAGAGACTTAATTTCTTCTCAGTAGGTGGTACAGTGTTGTGTTTTGGATTCAGTATAAGAATAATGTTGATAACACACTGATGTTTTGGTGGTTGCTAAGTCATGTTTATCCTAATTCAAGGCAACAAAATCAAATATGTTTGTAATGAAAACATTCAAAAAGCCAAACTGAATGCTTACTGAGCAATCACATTTTTTATGATCTGATTATTAAAAGATGCCTATGTCTGAATTATGGTGCAAACAAGACCATGTACCAAAGTCAATAGTATGGATTTTAATTACAGTAAATGTGAGGTAGAGAGATAGAAATAAATAGGAAAGAAGGGGGGGAGAGAGAGAGATCAAGCAGAGATATTCACCACCCGGGGATCCAGATTGCATCTCATTGGTCCTTCTTCTTCTGGTCTTCTCAGTGATTGGGATCTCAGAGTCGTTCTTCTGGGGTGTCCCATTTATACAGTCCAAGTTCCAGGTATCCACAGGGCATAGATGCCATTCCCATAACTTGTGATGGCATGTGTATAAGCATTTGCTTCCTTTCCCACAGTTTGCCACAGTGGGAATTTTTGTCTGGATGCATTAACTAGGGTGAGCTAACCAGACTTCACCTCCAATAGGCCTGGAATTAGTGCCTTCCTGTTGCAAGTTCCTCTCTTCTGTGCTTATCTCAAGTTCCCGCTGTGGTGGCTTATGTTATGGCAAGTTCCTTCTGTGGTCTTGACAACATTTAAGGCAATTGTCATCTTTAAGTCTCTTAAAACAATAAAGAAATGGGGTCCTGTCTCGTCTTTTTTGCTGTTTTTTAAAGTCCTTTACATAGTGATGATAGAGTTTGAAAAACACAGTCAGATAATGCGCAATAAAGTGTATTATGTTCTACTATGTCTATTATTTTTAAAGTTCCAATACATTCTGATTTTTTGTGGATAAACTCTTCCCTCCATCGTTTCATTATATTTTCCTGCACTCGAACCCACATTTTTACATGTCTTTCGGAGATTTAAAATCCAAGGGTCCACATAGATTTCCTCCTTAGAGCCTGTGCTGGGGCAATTTCTGTGTAACAACACTCACATAAAACGTATCATGGCAGTGGGTCCCCCGGAACTCCTTCCCCCATCCATGCCCTCCTAATATTAAGATTAAAATATACACTATTTTAACTTTCCATCCTAAATCAATACTCAAAAGGCAGTGCCAACTTAGATTTAGAAGCATCCATACCAGAATTGAGTAATCACTGTAATTTTATTTCTTGATAATACAAAAGCAATTTCTTTCCTACTTTGTAGTACTTTTATTCAGGGGTAGAAGAGGACAAAAAGAGAGATGATAAATTTATCCTTCTTTCAAGTTACCATGACTATAAACATTTATTGGTGAGGCAGATGTTTTTATTTGTCCTTCACAGAAACACTTTCCAAGCAAAAAGAATTTTCATATGAAAATATGGAACATAGTAGTAGCAGTCACCTGAAACTTTGACAGAGGACCATGTATCTAAACCTGCTGCACTTGCAAAATAACAATGAATTTGGAGAAGGGGGTTGAATTGCAAAGCACAGTAATTCAATTACATTTAAAATCTCACCTACAAACAACTAAAAACTTATTCACCTTAAAACAAAACTCCCAAAGTATTCTTGATGATCTGGAAAAAAGTTTCCAAGGTTTGGAATTCTTGTTTACTGCACAGCAACAAGCACATATGTTCATACACCGCTGTCCTGGTTTCAGCTAGGATAGAGTTCATTTCTTCTCAGTAGCTGGTACAGCGCTGTGTTTTGGATTCAGTGTGAGAATAATGTTGATAACACACTGATGCTAAGTTTGCTAAGTGGTTGCTAAGTCATGTTTATCCTAAGTTAAGGAATTTTTTTCTTTTTGTGTCTCATGTTCTGCTAGTGAGGAGGTGCACAAAAGACAAAAACTGGAAGGGAGCTCAGCCAGGACAGGTGACCTGAAGTGACCAAAAGGGATATTCCGCACCATACAACACTATGCCCAGTATATAAACTGGGAGAGGTACCCAGAAGTATATGGGAGTTACCCAGTGGTGTATGTATTCAGCATTGCAGGCACCTCTGTGCTTTGGGAATCACCTACTGGGAATGACTAATATTCACACTTTTGACCTTTTCTCCTCAGAAAAACAACCTATGGGGGAGATACCTTCCTACATCTTTCTTCCTTCCTTCCTTCCTTCTCCTCCAGGCTGATTACAGTAGGGTTTGAGAATTTTAAAGATTTTGAATATGCTTTGAATACCCTTGAAACCAACCTGGTCCTTTTGCTAGGAGCCAGCATGTTGCTACATATGGTTCAGGTCTTGTTTAAGGTCAGACAGTTAATTAAGAACATCACTCAGAGATCTGCCCCA